AGGAGCTGCGCGAGTGGTTTGCTCGCCGCTGGAGGCGTACTGCTGGAGCTGGAGCTTCTTCGACCGTCGAGGGTACTGGTGCCGCCGGTCCCAGAGGTGCTACGCCTGCGGGTCCTACTGGAGCTGGGGCTGCTGAGGGCGTTGGTGCTGAGTCTGCTGCTGTCTGTCCTGACAGTGGTTCTGCTGCTGGTGCTGCTGGAGGTCCTGCCGCTGGAGGTGTTGGTGGCGCTGGTGCTGCCGCTGAGGGTGCTGGTGCTGTCCCTGCTGAGTCTGGAGCTGCCGCGCGGCCTCGGCCGTACTTCGTTCCGCTTCTGCAGCAGGTTCTTGGTCTTTCTCCTCCGGTAGAGTGTCCACAGCCTGTCCAGTCGCAGTCACTGTTGGAGCCTACCTCCCCACTGCCTGCTCCCTCTCCTTACACTGGTCCTACTGGAGGTCTTGCTGAGCGTCGTGAGCCTGCGTCTCGTCCCGCGTCGCCTGTTCGTGCTGCCCGCGCTAGTGGTCGTGGTTCGCGTCCGCGTCCTCCTCCTGTCCCTGGCACGCACCGGATGTCTCTGCGTCCGTCCACTGCTCCTCTGCGTGCCCTTTTGCCTTCTCCTCCTGAGTCCTCCCTTCCTGTGCTTACCGACCCAGAGTTGGACTCCCTTCGTGCTGCCAGTCCTACTGTCACGCGTCTGCTTGCTACTGTCGTCACTGACCCCTCTTTTGAGTCCGCTGCTGCGTCTGCTCTTGTCGCTGAGCTCGTCGACTTTGCTGCTCGCTATCGTCTAGACTACGCTGCTAGTCTTGTTGCTGAGTCTGCGTCTGTCTGTCCTCCGTCCGTCGGGGGTGAGTGTGCTCTTGGCACGGACGTCCTAGAGGACAGGCAGGAGGAGTTCCAGTGTCTGGCTGCTGCTTCACCTCATCTCGCGTCTGTACTGCTTGCTCCTGAGGGAGACCCGGATGCACTAGACATCCCGACTCCGCGCTCTTATGCGGAGGCCGCAGAGGGTCCCTACTCCTCTCAGTGGTAGGCAGCTATGGATGCAGAGATGGCTTCCTGGAAGTCCACAGGCACCTACGTTGACGCGGTTCCCCCTCCTGGGGCGAACATCGTCAGTGGCATGTGGATCTTCAGGGTGAAGCGGCCGCCGGGCTCTCCACCTGTCTTCAAGGCGCGGTACGTCGCTCGTGGCTTCAGTCAGCGGCAGGGAGTTGACTACTTTCAGACCTTCTCTCCCACCCCAAAGATGACCACTCTTCGGGTGCTGCTGCACATAGCCGCTGAGCGCGACTACGAGCTTCACTCTCTCGACTTCAGTACTGCGTTCTTGCAGGGGAGCCTGCACGAGGAGATCTGGCTGTGCCGTCCACCTGGCTTCACTGGGACTTTCCCTCCTGGCACCCAGTGGAGCCTCCGACGGCCAGTCTACGGTCTCCGCCAGGCACCGCGTGAGTGGCACGACACACTGAGGACTACGCTTGCGGCCCTTGGGTTTGCTCCTTCTACTGCTGACCCGTCGCTGTTTCTGCGCACCGACACTTCACTGCCGCCGTTCTACATCCTCGTGTACGTCGACGACTTGGTCTTTGCCACAGCGGACACTGCTGGACTCGCCTACGTGAAGTCCGAGCTGCTGAAGAGACACACGTGCACAGACCTGGGTGAACTGCGCAGCTACCTTGGCTTGCAGATCACTCGGGACAGAGCACGCTGCACCATTACCTTGACTCAGTCACACATGGTGCAGCAGGTCCTTCAGCGCTTCGGCTTCACGTACTCCTCGCCTCAGGCCACTCCTCTGTCTACTCGTCACTCGCTCTCAGCTCTGCCTTCGGATGAGTCCGTAGAGTCGAGTGGCCCGTACCCAGAGCTTGTTGGCTGCCTCATGTACCTGATGACCTGCACACGACCTGACCTTGCATACCCTCTTAGCATTCTTGCACGCTATGTTGCTCCTGGGAGACACAGACCAGAGCACATGGCTGCAGCGAAGAGGGTATTGCGCTACCTGTGCAGTACGTCGGGCATGGGGCTTGTGCTTGGAGGGCGGAGTCCAGTGGTCCTTACCGGCCACGCGGACGCTTCTTGGGCTGACGACCAGGCTACGCAGCGGTCGTCACAGGGTTACACCTTCAGCCTTGGTTCCGGCTCTGTCTCGTGGCGGTCTACTCGCTCGTCTTCGGTTCTCGGCTCCAGTTGTGAGGCTGAGATCTACGCCGGGGCCATGGCTGCACAGGAGCTTCGCTGGCTCACCTACCTGCTGACTGACCTTGGAGAGCCGCCTCGTTCTCCTCCAGTGCTGTACGTAGACAACAAGGCCATGCTGGCCTTGTGTCGAGAGCAGCGTCTGGAGCACAGAACGAAGCACATTGCTCTTCGCTACTTCCTTGCTCGTGAGCTACAGCAGCGTGGACAGTTGCGGCCTGCGTACGTGGCCTCTGAGGCCAACACTGCTGATGTGTTCACCAAGGCACTCGCGCCTTGTGACCATCAGCGCTTCTGCACCCAGCTGGGTCTTGTGCCTGTCTTGCCTCACTTGCTCTCCTCTTGACTTTACTTGTACTGTCACATATATATACGTGCTCTTGCTTGTCTAGCTTTATATATATATGTGTGTACTCCTGCATGTGAACTGGCCTTGTGGCCTTGCTCTTGTGCTCGGACTGTGTGGTGACTTTGTGATCCACCCTGAGCTTTGCTTTGCTTTGCTTGACTGGTCTTGTGACCCCTTGTTCTCCCCCACTTTGCCTATGGGGGTGTGTCAGAACATATATGTAGCTTATGCTGTTGTGTAGGCTACAGTGGGGTATACCATAGGGGGTACAACCCAATTAGGGTTTTGCTATTTGTACTCACTTCACTCATAGTTCATTCATTCTCGTTCTATTTTCCACACTTTATACGCGGGCACGATCATGTCGTCAGAACTTGGTGAGTTTAGAGTGTGAAGGAGAATGAGAGAGTAGGGCGTATTCGGGACTTCGTGTCATCTACGCTTCGTGTCATCCGAAATCATGGGATCCAATCGGAAAAATTGAATCTCGAACCGCGGGTTTTCAGATTGGCTCCCACAATTTTGGATGACACAAATTCAGGATGACACAAAGCTACGAATACGCCCTTAGTGAGCGAAAATACTACGTGATAAAGAATGCGGGAGAGTAACATAATATGAGAATTTACTGCTTCACCTAGCTACTTCCGTTTTCTGCTTCCGCTTTCGTTTTCTACATTCGTTTCCTACCGTCGCGTGTTCTCTACTACGGCGTATATTCTGTTATTTGATTTGAAGCATCACTTTTTGTTCTTCCTTTGGCTATCTGCGCTTCCTTTTTACTTCATGAAACTTTCAATTAGCGTATGTTTAGTACCGGCGTTTCCTTCATTCGTTCTTTTAAAAATTGTTGATTCATTGTCTCGTGGAAGCATCTGCCTTAAGCCCTTCTCTACCTTTCATTTCCTTTTCTTTCTTCTTTCGTTCTTGCATAGTCTCAATTTCTTCAACATTTTATTCCCTGGTTAAAATCTCATTCATTCTCTCTTCTCGTTTGTTCCTCGCTGATAGTTTTATATTGGTTGTTTTTTTTTTTTTTGAAATCTCTGTACTCATGGTTGTGGTCTTTGATGGTTCATTAAGGCTTCTAAACTGTTGTTTCTTATTCTGCTCAATTTTTTTTCCAAATGAACATCAGAAGTTATTGCTTTCAAATTTCATGTATTTCTGTTTTTGGTGGTGTCAGATTCTAAGGATATTTCTAAGGATACCATGAATAGCCCATCTGTTTGCCTAATGCCCCGTTCTTTTCCGCGTTTGTTTTGAATTTGCTTCTCAGGTGATATGTCGTAACCACCAGGCAGTTGAGGTCATTTCGGAAAATAGAAGGATATTGTTTGTCGTTAGATCTTTCACTGTTGTTTATGATTTTGCAGCTCTGGTTATTTTTTGCTATTAGTTGTGTGTCTGTGCTTTTGTGTTTGTGCGTGTGTAAGTGTGCATGCGTGTGTGTGTGGTGTGTATGAGAGTGTGTGTTCATCTCATCTGTCATTGCAATATCAATGCATGTCTGTCAATTTTAAGAACGGGGTTCATTTCTATCATTTCTCATTGGTTCATTGGCGCACTCAGTGACTCGTGTGTTTGCCACTTCGAACTGGATTTGATAGAGTGAACCTCTTTTTTAAAGTTAACAGATTGTATTGTTTCATGTGCTAGTTGATTATTCAAAGACTTTGCTATTGACTTCCCCCCCATGCTAGGCAGGGGATGCGGTAGCCTAGTTTTTGGGTCGTTAACTATCACACATTTCTATGATATACTGGTGTGATGCATTTCAGCATATCATATGCATACAAAAGCATTTTCATGCATATATGTGTATTAGGTATGCATCTATATATCATGCATCATCATTACATTCATTTAAGCATGCGTGACGTGTAATTCATTACTAGTATTCATACCATTTATTACATGCAATTATCACAACATCAAACAGTAACAGATATAATACAAACACTGTAGCATTTACGCACAAAACTACTACAAAGACTGCTACCAATATTCAACATGCACAATGGGAAGGGTGGTACTGTAGATTACGGATTTTTTTTTTTCATGATTTATTTAAAAAAAACATGAAAAAAAAACTGTCAAAATCGATCGTAAAGGGTTGCTTCGCAACCCAAAAAAAAAAAATCGATTCTAAGACTTGCTGCACGGTGACCTAGACACTTCTGCCCCCCCAGTAGACCCGCCCAACAACATACCGAACTGCCATGGCGCCCTCGCACAGCACCCTTTTGAGACGCATCATCCCTTGGCAAGATGTTGCTGCGTCCTTGGGTCTCAGTGCAGGAGGCACCCGCACCACAGCAGCGAACACAGCACAGAGACGAGCAGAAAAGAGAGTGCGTCAGGAGCAGCAGCGGAAACTGACTCGAAAGAAACAGAAATCGATTCTAAGACTTGCCGTGCGGCGACCTAGACACTACTGCCCCCCCAATAGACCAGCCCAGTGCCTTACCGTACTGCCATGGCGAGCCATAGGGTGAGGATGCTAACTCGTGCAGCACCTCTCTGAGAAGCACCATCCCTTGGCATGACTGCTGCTGTGCCCTTGGTCCTCAATGCAAGAGGCACCGGCACCACAACAGCAAATACAGCACAGAAACGAGCGCAGAGGAGAGAAACGAGCATCAGAAGCAGCAGCGGATACAGACTTGAAAGGAACAGAAATCAATTCTAAGACTTGCCGCACGGCGACCTAGACTCTTCTGCCCCCCCAATAGACCCGCCCAGCCAACTGACCATACTGCCGTGGCAAGCCATGTTCCGAGTGATGTGGTGAGCCTCCTCACTCGCACAGCGCCATCTCGCACAGCGCCATCTCGCACAGCGCCATCTCGCACAGCGCCATCTCGCACAGCACCATCTCGCACAGCACCATCTCGCACAGCACCATCTCGCACAGAACCATCTCGCACAGCACCATCTCGCACAGCACCATCTCGCACAGCACCTCCTCTCTGAGAAGCACCTCTTCACCATCTCGTGGCATGACAGCTGCTGTGCCCTTGGAGACTCAGCGCAGGAGGCACTGGCACCACAGCAGCGGACACATCACAGACACGAGCACAGAGGAGAGAAAGGAGAATCAGAAGCAGCAGCGGATACGGACTCGGAAGGAACAGAAATCGACTCTAAGACTTGCCGCACGGCGACCTAGACTCTTCTGTCCCCCCCCAGTAGTCCCGCCCAACGACGTACCATACTGTCACGGCGAGCCATTTTCCGAGTTTCTGGTGAGCGTCCTCCCTCGCACAGCACCTTTTAGAGAAGCACCACCCCTTGGCATGGCTGTTGCTGTGTCCTTGGATCTCAGTGCAGGAGGCACACACCGGCACTGCAGCAGGGAACACAGCACAGAAACGAGCGCAGAGGGGAGTGCGTGAGAAGCAGCAGTGGAAACGGACTCGAAAGAGACAGCAATCGGTTCTAAGACTTGCCGCACGGCGACCTAGACTCTCCTGCCCCCCTAGTAGACCCGCCCAACGACTTACTTTACTGCCATGGTGAGCCAAGTGGTGAGGATGCTCACTCGCCGCACATCTTTGTGAGAAGCACCTCCCCTTGGCATGACTGCTGCTGTTGCATCATCCTGTGGGCCTCAGTGCAGGAGGCACCGGCACCACAGCAGCGAACACAGCAGAGACACAAGCACAGAGGGGAGTGTGGAGTGGATGAGAAGCAGCAGCGGAGACAGACTTGAAAGAAACGAAAATCATTTCTAAGACTTGCCGCATGGCGACCTAGACAGCTCTTACCCCCCCGGCAGATGTGGTCAACAGCTTACCGTATTGCACAGTAACACAGCCTCTCTCCCCCCACTCCCCCATTCTCCCTGACGAAGCTGCTGCTGCTGCTGCTGCGGCTGCTGCTGCTGTTGCTGCTGCTGTTGCTGCTGTTGTTGTTGCTGCTGCTGCTACTGTTGTTGCTGCTGCTGCTGCTGCTGCTGCTGCTGCTGCTGCTGCTGCTGCTGCTCGGAAGTCGTTCGCCTGACCCTTATTCGCTCCTCCCTGGCCCATCCCACACACAAAACACTCAAATCAGAGCAGCCAGCACAGCAGAAAAACAATCATAGACGAGAGCGCGTCAGAAGCAACAAAGGAAACAGACTCGAAAGAAACAGAAACTGCTTCTAAGACACATGCCGCGCGGCGACCTAGACACTTGTGCCCCCCAACAAACCAGCCCAACCACTTACCGCACAGCCATGGTGAGGCAGATTCTGAGTCGGCTCAGGGGGCGGATCCCTACTCGCACAGCACCTCCCCAGGACGCACCACCCATGGTCAACGCCTCTCACATACGGAGGCATCCTTCGGGACCGAAACCACAGCTGAAGACACAGCGCAGAAACGAGCACAGAGGAGGAGAGTGCGCGTGAGAAGCAGCAGTAGAAAAAAGACACAGAAGGAATTGTATTCAGGTCTGCGACTTGCCGCTCGGCGACCTAGACTGCTGCCCCCTGATCGACTTGCCCAATTCACTCACCCTGCTGCCATGGTGACGCAGATTCCGAAACGCATCCGCAGTCGGATGGTTACTGGCAGAGCCGCTCTCCACCACGCCTTGGCCGGACTGCCACGCCTTGGCAAGATTCGACACACCGCAACGCTGGGATGGGACGCACCGCCACGCCTTGGCCAGACTGTCGACACCGCCACACCACAACAAAACCGCCGAACACAGCACAGGAAAATGCACACAAGAGAGTAGATCAGAAGCAGAATAGGAACCAGACTCAAAACACAGCAGAATAGGAATCAGACTCAAAACACAGCAGAATAGGAACCAGACTCGAAACACAGCAGAATAGGAACCAGACTCAAAACACAGCAGAATAGGAACCAGACTCAAAACACAGCAGAATAGGAACCAGACTCAAAACACAGCAGAATAGGAACCAGACTCAAAACACAGCAGAATAGGAACCAGACTCAAAACACAGCAGAATAGGAACCAGACTCAAAACACAGCAGAATAGGAACCAGACTCAAAGAAACCATAATATAATTCTAAGACTTGCCGCACGGCGACCTAGACAGCTATGCCTCCCCCCCAATAGAGTTGGCCATTTTACTCACCGTGCTGCCATGATAACACAGATTTCGAAACGCGTCAGAAGTCGGATGGTTACTGCAAGAGCCCCTCCCTAGGATTCGATGCACCACCACGCCTTGGCAGGACAGTTGACGCGTCTGTGGCGCCCTCCAACCAAAGCAGCGAACACAGCACAGCACAGGAACAAACAAGCACACAAGAGAGTGTATCAGAAGCATGAGAGGAGACGGACTCCAAAAAAATCAAACTTAGATTCAAGACTTGCCGCGCGGCGACCTAGACAACTCTTAGCCCCCCCGAAAGACTTGCCAATTCACTCACCGTGCTTCCATGGTAGGGCAGATTCCGAAACGCCTCAGCTATCGATTGGATACTTGCAGAACCCCTCTCCGCCATGCCTTGGCCGGAGTGTTGACGCGTCCTTGGGCCTCTCAGTCAAGGAGTCCCCTCAACCACAGCAGCAAACTCAGCACAGGAAAAGCACACAAGAGAGCGTATCAGAATAAGGATAGGAACTGGACTCACAGAAACCAGAAAACGTTTCTAAGGCTTGCCGCATGGCGACCTAGATTGCTCCCCCCCGATTGACTTGGTTAATTCACTTACCGTGCTGCCATGGTGAGGCAGATTCCGAGACGCCTCAGCAGTCGACTGATTACTGGTAGAGCCCCTCTCTGGGACGCGATGTGCGGCCACGCCTTGGCAGGACTGTTGAAGATTCCTTGGGCCTCTACGTCACGGAGGCCTCCCAACCACAGCAGTGAACACAGCACAAGAACAAGCACACAAGAAAGTGTCTTAGAAGCATAAGAGGAAACGGACTCAAGGAAATCAAAATTTGATTTGAAGACTTGCCGCGCGGCGACCTAGACTGTTTCCGTGGCCCCCCACTTGCCCTCCGTACGTACGCACCTTTACATGCCGCTATGATGTCTGTCTCTCGCGCTGTTGATTTGCCCGCTCTTGTTCCTGCTGCTCCCGCTGGCGCTGCAACTGCATCTCACGTCCTCCATCCCTCCTCCCTCCCTGGACACACAGAGTGCACACAAGCAGAGACGGTAGAAGGGTGCAAATATGCGTCAGAGCAGCGCGGAAACAAGGACGACAGGAAGCAGGAGCAGCTGACAACGACACAAGACATCTACGCGGCGGACTCCTACGTCCACCCAGCTTGCCCTTCGCGCACACGCACCTTCGCATGCCGCTCTAGCGTTGTCAGCTTGCTTCACATCCCGTTCTGCTGTCAGCGTGCTTCACATCCCGTTCTGCTGTCGTCAGCTTGCTTCACACCCCGTTCTCATCGCGGAAAAGGATAATTGCGATTTTGGGGGTTCGAAGGTTTTTCTGCGAAAAACCTGCGACTGAGTTGCGCGAAGTGTAAAAAAAACAACGCACGCAAAAAGCAACTTTCTGTACACTAGTTGCGAATGCGGAAACCAGCGGAAAAATGTGACCGCAAAGTTGCAGTTCCGTCAACATTTACGAGTCACTCGGTTTTGCGCGGTTTAGAGAGTTTGAAAGCGTTTTGGCAGTGTAACGTTGATAGTGGCCATGGTGACAACAAATTTTACGAAACTGAACGACCCCACGAAATCTAGCGAGGCTACAAACGTGCATACATCGTTTTCGTTTTTTCTCAAATCTGAACCCAACCACCCAACCCAACCCACAAACGGCAGATGGTTTCTTTGGAGGTGTGACGTGGGAGCCAACAAATCAATTTGAACCAATCATTGTTCTGCTTTGAAGAGTCAATCAATCTGCACCTTCCGATAGGTACACGTCAGCACACCCGAGCAAACCTACCCAAAACGTCCGCCCATTACTCCCTCAGCTTTACCGCTTCCACCTTTCTCCCATGATTCCCCTTTACACCTGTACCTCCCGTAGTAATACCCACAACCTACCCCGTCTCTCCCCTCCCATTTGTTTTTCCAATGGTCACCAGACTAGCATTCTTGTTGTGATGGAACCTACTGAACATGATGCCACTTATTCACCGGCGATTTATCCCTTACCTTACTTGGTGAACATTTGCACATCAGAGCCCACGTCAGAGCCTCATTCATGACTTTCCCCTTTCCATTTACCAAAACATTCCCCTTTTCAGGTCGACGAGTTTCAACATTTTCTTGGAGAACATGCACGCAAATTTTTACGTTTAGGCGCCGTTCCGGCAACTACTTCTTTAACAATTGGTAAGGTATTTAAATATCGCTGAAGTATGCGTTTTTTATGGCTTCGCCATGTGTCCTATGTTTGCAGTCCCAAGTAATGTTACCTTCTTGGTTCTTACGATTGCATCTACTTCATATATTCGGTTAGAGACTAACCCTGTCCAGCATCTCACTCGTCGCCATGTGTAACCATCGGAGTTAGAGCAGCCGCAACCGACTATGCAAAATGTAAGTACGATGCATCTGGTGTTTCGCTTCCGTGGGTATCACTAACCCTTCTGGAACAAGCTCAGAGACGTCCGTAACAGCAACCTTGTGGGTGCAGGTTTCACACATGTGAACGTCATCGCTTACCTTTTTTACTAGCAGGATTATAAATAACGATACTCGCATTACCGTATGCGTTTTTTTCAGGGCGTCCCGGTTACTGCATGCTTATCGTCAACCATTATCCCGCTATGCATATTGTTCAACACTACCCATTAGTACTGACCACAATGATGAGTATTGGAAACGCAAACTTGGTGTACTTGTTAACCAAGTTTTCATGTCTTTTTTTCCAGTTTACATCTGTTTGACTTGTAGAGATTTTCTTCTTGCAGAGATGCGTTACAGTAAGTTGTGTTTGCATGTTTTGCAGGGCCAACCTGTTACCCCCTTCCATTGTCAACCAGAATCCTTATTAACCATAATGGTGAGTGGTGGAATGGCAGTCCTGTTATGATTTTTTAACAAGGTTTTTTTCCTCTGTTTCTGCAGGCTGCGTCCATATTCTTATTAACAGAGTTCACACATCATCTTACCTGTGCATTATGCGTAGTAGTACTAGTAAGGTTGGGTAGATTGTACGTTTGCAGCCTTGTAAGAGAATCATTATTATTGACATTTTCTATCCGTGCTGAGAAACGAATACCCATAAACGAGAAGCGTCAATCGAAACTATCACTGTTCCAATCGCTAGCCATTTTTTTTTTTTTTTTTTTTTTTTTTTTTTTTTTTTTTTTTAATCGCACGCCTACGATTGGTCCATGTGCCAAAATTTCGTGCGTCGATATGAATCTGATCCGACGGTTGTCGTTAGCGTACATCGACATCCACGTCAGCATGTTTCAGTTTCATCTTGAGTACGTCGTAATGCCACGTGGCGTTCTCGTAACACTTTCGCTGTGGTTGCTGAGAAGTGACTTTCCGCAACTTTGAGGTTGATTTACTGCATACCGGGTTAGTTGCGTCAGTGTATGCAGTTTCTGTCGATTTAGTGACAGAAAAGTTGCATCGCAAGTCACTGCAGCACCCACGATTTTGAACCTTGACTTTTTTTCTTGCGGGAGAAATGCAACCCTAAAGTAACGAGGCTGTAACTTTCGAGTTGCTTTTTGCAGTTCCCTTTTCCGCGATGCTGCTGTCGTCAGCTTGCTTCACATCCCGTTCTGCTGTCGTCAGCTTGCTTCACATCCCGTTCTGCTGTCGTCAGCTTACTTCACATCCCGTTCTGCTGTCGT